AGCCAGAGCCCTCAAGGAAGCCTGACTTCCCACCTCGGGGCTCCCGTCTTACAGTTTACAAACCGCTTTCCAGGCTCCGGGGCAACGGGGCCCCGCGGAAGAAGTGGGGGCCGGGAAGGTTTGTCCACAGGCCTCCTTTTATTTTCGGAACAGAAAGGCAGGGAACATTCTGCCCCCGAAGTTTAGGGACAACCCTGTCTCCCTCCCGGGGTCCTTGCGAGCCCAGGAGGGAGCGCAGGGCCAGGCCAGGGCTTGGCCCCCGTTTCCTTCTGGCCCCAGCGAAGGGGCCTGGTCCCCCCGGAACCCAGACCCCCTTTTAGAGCCCCTTCTCCGGCTCCCTTTTTTCTTTTTTCGGTTTCTCCAGACCCGGGGGGGGGGGGGGGGGGGGGAATTAAAGAAGCCTCGAACCAAGCCGCAGCCCCCTCCCCCTCCGCCCCTGAGACAAACAGGACAAGCTCCTTTCTAAACGTGAGCAAGCCCAGCGAAGGCCTTGAGCCAGGAGAAACCTTGCCTTCAACCCGGGGAAGCTCCCCTCGTTAGAAGAAGAATGATGGTTATCGCCTGATTGATTTAGTGATAAAAATGCCCCGTAATAGATAGATCCCTTGATTTTTCCAAATGCACTTTGGAGCCATCCACACATTTGCAGCTTGGATACATCTAAGCCTTTTTTTTTTTTTTAAGTGAGAATTGGAGAGAATTCATTAAATTAGTCCCTGGGGGAAGATTACGGCTAATTAATTAATTGCAAACATTTCCAGAGGGAAGGTATGTCAATTGTAACGTAATAAAATTAGGTAGTTGAAACCCTTACTCAGCATCTTAGATTGCCCATTCGTTCCCAAGCAGGTTTTTTTTTTTTTTTTTTACGACAGAAAAATGGGGATGGTGGTGGAGAAAAAGCATTAGCTCTGTCCCCTGGCGATCTGGTTGCAAAGGAGAAACTACCACATAGTATGTATTGATTTTCAGCTGATTTATAAGATCTCTGCGGTATCAATGCCTGCACGGGGCCTGCAGGCCTCCCTCTCGGCTTTGCTGTCTGGGATTAGAGGAAAGCAACATGATGTTTCAAAAGAAAAAGAGAGGAGGAGGAAGAACAGTGGTGAAGTAACTTGGGGCGTAGGGCTCTGAAGATACCCCAGCTTATTTTCTTCTTATGCAGAAAAACAAACAAACAAAAAAACCTCCACACACAAGGGGCTTCATGTTCAGGAACCTCCCTCTTGTCTTCCTCGTTGCTTCGTGGTACCAGGATGTGGAGCCTCCGGGTTCCAGGTGTGGGAGACCACGGCTGGATATTTCTTTCCCAGGGAGAGAGGTTGCACCCACAGTGCAACCTACCCTGGGCCGCTGACATGGGGTTGCCACCACCTGGAACGCTTTGTGGGGTTCCCTGCGATTGGTTCCTAGGGAGTGTGCCTATTCTTCCCATCATGTTGGGGCCCCATTTGGGACCCAGAACAAAACAAAGCCAGAGGTGAAGCCGGTATCGACCTCTATCTGGCAGAAAGCGCAGGGGAAAGGCGGCCTGTTTCCTGGAAAGGCTGCTTCAGGGCCACTGCCGTGGGATCTGCGCGAGGGCCCTGAGCTTCTCCGCCACGCTGGCTGTTTATGGCTCTGTTCCGCCGTGATTCATTTAGTTTCGGGAAAAATGCCCAATGGTGTATGTGTACCCAGAGACCTTTATGGAAGCAAGTAAATAGACCTCTCCAATACAGACCCTCCCAGCTGTAGTGAAGGGAGTCAATTAAGCTAATATGTTTCAAGCAATGATACAGAGTCCTTTATGGTATCGAGCAGCATGCCCTGGCATTTCCTCCAGCTGCTCATTAAAACAAATATGGAACAAAGTAAACAATCAAAGGCCCATTTGGAGCAGAGAGTATTAATAGTCCACTTTGTTTATTTCCACGTTGCTTTGCTGCAAGGCATGGAAGGGCCCGGCCAGCAGAGGAAAGGATGTGTCTTTGACAATAAACTTGAACGCAAGTATCACACACACACACACACACACACACACACACGAAAAGAAATCCTACTGTGTTTATTTTGGGTTAAATGTCCATATTTCCTACTGATTCATAAAGATAACAGATTTTCCCGGGGAAGGGGGCGGGCATAAGCCAGAAACGCCCCCAATCAACTTCAAACGCCTCATAGACGAAACATGTGAGTGCAGGGGCACAATAACATCGATGAAAAATGGACTAGATTATATTGTGTAAGTGCAGATGTGTTAGGGACTGTTAAGCACCGAGAAGAATGAAATTCCCCCAATCTCTGCATGAATGAGCAAGTCCAGCTGGACAGACACATCTATAATTTACACCGACCACTCACCGCAGGTCTTCCCGAGTGAAGCCGGAGTGAATGCTCATTGTTCTGACGGAAGCAGCGTGCGTGGCATCTGACGGTGAGAGGCAGGGGGGCCCGGCCTTGCCTGGCTACACATTGTCAACAGCCACTCTGGCATCAGGAGGGGAAAATGCAGAGGCAGTGATTCCCAGATGAGGGTGTCGGTGTTGCTTGGCAGAAAGGTGGCAAATAGAAAGAATGAACTTCTGGATAAAGGAGAGAGAGAGAGAGAGAGAGAGAGAGAGAGAGAGAGAGAATGCAAGGCTCCTGGCGTGTCAGCAAACCAAGTACAACCCTGAGCACAGAGTTCAGAAAGGAGAGCTTGTTAATGACCAAATTCCTTTGCATTCATAACATGGTTTGGAGCTTCCTGAAACACCTCTGCTTGTTCTTTCTTTCTTTCTTTCTTTCTTTCTTTCTTTCTTTCTTTCTTTCTTTCTTTCTTTCTTTCTTTCTTTCTTTCTTTCTTTCTTCTTTCCTTCCTCCCTCCCTCCCTTCCTTCCTTCCTTCCTTCCTGCCTTCCTTCCTTCCTTCCTTCCTTCCTTCCTTCCTCCCTTCCTTC